TACTAGCTTCTTGCTCCGAGTAGCGATGCCAGGAGTCCCTAGTAGCGTTCGATCCCTCTGCGATTTGTGAGGCCTGCATCGACAAGTGGTTCTTTGCCAATCGCTTCATACCCAGGTCATGTCCTCTTTGTCCGACTCCTAACGGTTAGTCCGAACGGACTCCAAACGCCAAAGCAAGCGATGTCGACATCACTTTTGCAAAGCATGTGAGCATTCGCCAAGGCAAGCGTGATCCTGTGTTAATGATTCTTTCTCGAGCTGATGCCTCAGAAACATGGAGCCTTGTTCAATTTCTATCTTCATTTTGAGAGGTGAAGTGATTGCTTGCACAATCTTTTACTTATATATATAGCGTGTATATAGAATATATAATGTACACTTCAATATCATTTCTCATCCTTAGCGAACGCAAAGGCAGATGCCCCAGCAGGACAAGATGAAGAGGCGATCTTGAAAAACATCCAACATTTTGCTTAAGGCAGTGACAGTGAAGACACTTTCTTAAGCTTTGGTAACAGGCAGTTCCTGCAGAACGTCCATCGTCTTCAGCTGTAGCCACAGTTTTGCTGAAGGAATCTCTCTGAGCACTTGAATTGAATCTGCCTGCCTGGTTGCAGGATGCAGGAAAACCAACGTTTTTTGTTTTTATTTTTTTTTTGCGTCACACCTTCCCTTATGCAAGATGCCCTAATGAATCCTTAAGTATTCTTAAGTTGATATGATCGTAGCCAGGTATCCATCATCGTTAGTGTGAAGTGGGTCGTCCGTCGTTGTTTTGCTGATGTTTTGCCCAGGGTGACGGAGCCCCCAGGCTGGAGCGCGGTTGATTTGGACATGAGCCACCGTGCCACAGCTGCGCCATGGCTATGTGGCACTTTTTGTCTCTTCCTCCTTCTCTCCACAAGAGAAGAGAGGTTGATTTGGGACTTTGGGTCATGCTTCTTAGTGCGGATCTCGCCCATACTGTGCAACATCATAGGCTCAGTTCTGGGCCTAGCACGAATAGTAAGTAGCACAACCAGATCAGAGCTGCGCTTAGCTGTAGCTTTACGGCTGTGTGGAAGACCTCCGACATGCTGAACGATTGTGAATGAGGTCGTATCTATTTCTTCTTTTTTCCACGCCAGTTCCCCTTCGCCTCAAAAAGATCCACAGAGATGCAGCCAGGTCTTTGGCAGGGGATGCAGATTTTGTCATTGGTGTGGCGCCAAACTTCTACAGAGCAAATGACCAGAACTGGATAACCAGGGCATGTTGGCAAAAGGATTCGCTCAATCGCTTCTGCACAGGTCGCCCCCAGGAAGCCTGGGTTGCCTGACGGATTGCCTGAGTCGATGCAATCGCATCTCGAGAAGCGAGACACTTCGTCGGCTTAGCCCTGGGGCTTAGCCAGTTTTCTGTCTTTTGGATCTCATTGAATAGATGTGTCCAAGCATGTCCAAACCGCGGCACAACGGCCGTTGAGACCGGCCTTAACACCGATGAAGAAGGTTGAAGATACAACTTTTCACATGATGTACGGCATGCGTAGAAGGTTTTGAATGGTTTGAAGGGCTTGCTGTTCACGTGTTTTGATTCAAAGAATTGCAAGTGCTCTCTGTTTGGCGCAGCACCACTCGCTCGGTTGCAGCAGATGCGTTGGTATGTTGAACACAAATGTGTTCAGATGCCATTTTCCTGCGCATTCAGTGTGCTTTTGTGGCAAAGAGCGCATCTATTTCTAAATGGTATGATTCTGGATCTTGTGATTTATGTACCACTCCTGTGAAGGCTGCTGTGGGTCAGCTTTATGCAGTGCTTTGCCTACAGACCAAGGCCGAATCTTGAGTCTTCGGCTTTCAGGGGATCTCAGCAACATTTCTAAGTCCACTCTTTGGACTTAGCTTGCTATCCTTCCTCACAGGCTAGATCCTTTTTGGCCCAAAAAGAGCTACATCGCCGCCAGAGGCAGGGCTGAGGTACTGGCCACCATCTAGAGTGGAAATCATCTAGAGTGGACTCTCACTTTCCAACTTGTCTCCATTTGCCATCCATTTCTTGATCCTGTTCATTTTTTGGCTTCTTCAAGGCACTTGTTTCCTGCTGGCCTTCCTCCCAGATGGTCTGGCTAGACAGAGCGGCAGCTACAGACATTGGTCTGAGGACACCGGACAAAGCGGCCAACTTCTGCAGTTGGAACGCATTCTCAGGCATTATTAATGTCAATGTCCATCATAGATTTTGATCAGATGGTTTTGTTCAAATTCTACTATGCTCGCTGTGGGGAAGTAGGTGTCACTACCCCTTGCTACTCCATATCATTAAACTTATTGAACTTTGAGCTGTCACGAATCACGAACCTGACCCTTCTACCTGTCAGGCCTTGCGTCGCCGCCACACTGTGCCACAGGCCTTTCACTGCACTGGTGACTCATTGTGTATCTTGCAAGATTTGACATCAAGCAGGCCAGTCTTGATACCTCACTTTGCTGCTTTGTGGAGGTTTTGCCGCCCCATCTGCAGGTGTCAGGCATCATTCGTCTTGACCCCAATGCTGAATGGACTAGTGAGCCGTGTGAGCTATGCAGGTGTCTGGTACGTATCACAATTCAGCAGCTTGCATTTCATGTGACGGCGGATTCTGTGGCTTTTGCGCCTAGATGAGCTCGATGAGGAAGCATCGACAGCGAGGTGCGCCCAAGGAAGTCCTTCAACACCCTTCAACAGTTTAGGTGTCCACTGACTGAGTTCCCCTCCATGAAATGAAATGGGGCCCAGTGAAGGGACCTGCAGCACAGGAGGAAAGCTATATCATTAACTTGGCTCCTGTACCGCAGCAACAGCACTCTTTGGAAGGCTCAGATGGAGTGATGTCCACCCTGGACCAGTGCCTCGCTTGAATCTTGATGGCTTAGTTCAGGCAGGCCACCGGATTGGACACAATCATTATTTATCTGCACTCATTACTTCATGGACAGCTCGGTTGCAATGACTTCCATACCTTCACAAGTACACCCCTGTGCCAGTTCGAAGCTGTGCTTCATGCGGAGTCAGAGGCAGGGATGAAGCCTTCATGATCTTGCAGTGTTTCAGTGTCCGTGTTTGACGAGGCCACACCTGGGCCAGGGGCAACGCAGGCTTCACCAAAGGCGGCCACGGTGTTTTTGCTCTGCTTGGCCGCTTGGTGATAGCTGTCCTAGAGAGCTACAACATGCTGTGCCGCAGCTGCTCTCGCCAGCAGCTGAAAGGGTGTCAAACTTGCCAGATCTCGGAGAATTTCTTGAGATGTTTTCCCAGCCCGACTTCTGTCCTTTGGGTTCTGAATTTGTTTCCAACTGATGGTGAAGTAGGTCAAATCACATTGACATCCTCCTCACACTCTTCCTCCATGCGATATGCAATGCTATGCAGCTCCCCTTTGATGATGCATGAACAGGAAGAAGGCGGCAGCAGATCTCCAACACCAGTGAAGCTGAGAGAGATGGCACAGAATGGTCTCCTACTACACGACTTCCCCGCAAACCCGGCAGGTGGCAGACGAAGATATCCAAGTGACACCGATCTCTTACTATGCCAGAGAGACTCGCCGTCGCAATCGAGTATTGCGCGATGACCTTCGCAGGGCCGAGCCAGATGGCATTCTAAATCTAGTTGCTCAACGCGGCCATTCCTGGGACTCCATAGCCACTTCCACTGCTCTACACGCCTTAGCCTGCAAAATGAAGGGATCTACATCCACCTGGGACTTAAAGGACGCTCGGTGGCAGCGCCTCTGTGCCTTGACCTTTCAACACTTAGTGGAAGGAGAGGCAAGGAATCTGGCGAATGTGGCCTGGTCTCTGGCGAGCCTACGCTGCAAGCTTTTCCCTTTCCAAGACTTGGCGAAGCAGGTCGTACTTCATGCAGAAGAGCTGAAACCACAGGAGGTCTCGAACCTCATGTGGTCATTGGCACACTTGCGATTTCATCATGTCCCAATGATCTCGAGTCTTGTGTCAGAAGTTGTCAAGCAAGTCTCTGGCTTTTCTTGCCAAGATGCATCAAATACTATGTGGGCATTGGCTTCCTTGGCAGTCGCAGAAGACCGTGCTCTTGAAACTCTGCTGCCCTCTGCGATGAGGAACATATACCAATTTAAGCCCCAAGAATGTGCAAACACTATTTGGGCTTTGGCCATTTTGGCGCTGTCAGATGTCGAACTGGTGGAGAAGATTGCCGAGCATGCAGTTGACATCGTCACGGAGTTTCGTAACCAAAATCTGTCCAACTTTATTTGGGCCTTTGCAAAGTTGGGGCACAAGGACGAAGTGACGACAGCCAAACTCTTGCAGGTGTCTTTGGGCAGACTCTCGACATTTTCACCCCAGGACAGTCGATTGAACATGTTTCTTTTTTGCAAACTCTAGACTCTAGCTGTGACCATTGGGCAATCTTGTGCACACAGAGTATGTCCATGATGTAATTCTTCAGTGCATTTATCCGGTGAAACGTTTTGTAGTGATCACCCTGTCTCACCTGATGAACAGTGTTGTGTCTTTCATCGACTATAACTTATATATCATCTAGACAGAACTTGGATAGGACTTAATCCAATTCTGGATTTTGGGCATTTGAAGCCTTTGTCTCTTGATCGGGTTCGTGGCAATTCCAACGCATTCCATCCCCACATGACTATTTGTTTGTCCAAACAATAAACATGCACTATCATGCACTCTATTGTACTGCACCCCAGCATTTAAAGGGTTGTTTCCACAGAGGTGATGGTAACGACATCTCTTCTATTTAGCAATATATAAGTCTCAAGAAGAAATGCGGCCAGGATCTAACTACCACCATTTGGGCACTTGCAACAATGGATTACCGTCAAGACGACTTTGTAGCATCTACATTGCGAGAACTTCAGCAACGAGCCGGAGTGATATCACTTCAGCCACAGCATGTCTCCAATACATTCTGGGCGCTTGCTTCTCGGCGTTTCACACATGTTCTGGCACAGAAACATGCAGGCATCATTTAAGACAGAAACTGTTTCTCTAAAGAGAGATTGGCCATACCATTTGAGCAAACCGAATCTGGTGGTTGTGAGCCGATTCATAACATTGTTGGGGATGGGCCAGGGGGTCCAGGATGTGCTCAGAAGGTATATGGTCAACATTTCGATTTCTTAGAGTTCCGGTCAGCACAGTCAACACGACACATGATCATATCATTTTGATTTCCATTTCATTTGCGGCACAACAAAGGCTACACTCAGAGGTTCCGATGAACCGGCCATTGAGTTTTTGTGTGCAAGCATGTGCTCTCGGATCACCGAATTTAAGCCCCAAGAGCTAGCGAACTTTATTTGGTCAATGGCTATCACTGGGGAAAGAGGTGAACCTGCCTTGGTCTGCATTGTTGGTCAAGTTGAAATGACCTTGCATGAGTTCAGCTGTCAAAGTACGGCCAACTTTGTTTGGTCCTATGCCAAGCTGGGTCTAAACGAGCCACATGTGCTTTGTCTAGTCAAAGAGGCAGCGGCTCCGAAGCTGAACACCTTTTCAGAGCAAGACTTGTCAACAACTCTTTGGGCCTTTAGCACGATGCTGCACCGCGATGATGTTTTCCTGGACCATTGGATGTGCGCCATCTCCCAAAAGCTCCTGGAGAAGCCCGTAAAGCCTCAGCATGCCTCGAACATTCTGTGGGCCTTGGCTTCGATCGCTTTTTATGACGGCCCCTTTTTCACCACTTTGACCGATGGCATCAGGAAGTCGATCAAAGGCTTTGCTGCGCAGGACATTGCTTGCTGTACATGGGCCTGTGCTACAGTTGTCCACAGAGACCAGAGCTTCACTGACCTCATGGCCAGTGAGGCAGCAGATAAACTGAAGTACTTCGATCCACAAAGTGTGGGCAACACGGTTTGGGGAGCCACCTATTTGAAGACGTCTGTCTCTAAGTTGTATCATAGCCTCAGTGATTTGATGGATGCAACAACTCTCAGTTGTTATAATGACAAGGTGGTGGCAATGGTGGCACGTGCTCTCATGACTGGGTTTGCTGCTGAAATGTCTTGGGACGTCTTCCACCGCTTGCAGCAACTCGATCAAAATCCTGGGATCAGCGCATTAAGCTTGTGGTTGCATCACTGCCGCCACGTGCAGCCATGCATAGGCCGGGAAATGCAGGTCATGTCCGTGCTTGCGAGGTTCCAACCGTGTAGATACGTGCAGCAAGCAATTCTGAATGTTGCAGCCCTACGTTTGGCCGAAGACGGTTTCCTGACTGATGCTTTGAGCCTTGTGCAAGAGCTGCTGCATCATGACGCTACAAACATCATTGCCGGGCACTTGCATCAACAGTTGTTTGATGGCTTCTACGGCGCGGAAGCTGTGATCGAACCCTTGCAAATGAAGTGGAAGCTGCCATCGCACATGCGCGGCCATAGTGGGACCGACTATGACAAGCAGTGCAGATTGCTGGAACATGTTTTGAGCACAGCACAGAAGGGTGATGCATGGTCAGTGGTGACCACGATCGAGCGTTTCTCTGTGGATGGGAACGGCTGGCTGAAGATCGCTGGGGGTGGCAAAGGCATGGTTCTTGATGACCTCGTTCGAAAGTTGTCTCCTCAACCACCTTCCTTGGTCCTTGAATTCGGGCTTTTCGTTGGGTACTCGAGCACAAGGATGGCATATTGGCTGCGAGGTCACGGTGGCAAGGTGCTTTCAGTGGAGGTGGATCCAATACATGTTGCTATCGCCCGAAATGTTATCGAGTTTGCTGGAGTAGCCAATCATGTTTCGATTTGTCTTGGATACAGTGAGGATGTGATCCCACATTTAAAAGAGACCTGTTGTGGAGCATCCGCAGACGCCGTTTTCTTTGATCAAAGAGGGACTCGCTTCCACACCGATCTGTGCATGTTGGAGTCTGAAGAACTGATGAAAGATGGCTGTGCTGTACTAGCAGACAATGTGCTAAAGCCTGGGGCACCGCATTTCCTCTGGTATTTGCAGCACAGTCCACATTATGATCTCACGGTCGTGTCTTTGCGGGAATTCGCTGCAGACAGGATCGAAGATTGGATGGCTTTGGGAATCTACCATCCTGGAAACTCAGGTCCAGCTGTGTTTTTTCCAAAATCCTTGGACAGGTTGGCATTCTTGACAGACAAGGCACGGGCGCACAGCTGCAATGCGGACGGGCCATGTGAAGTGGATGAAGACGCATGGGCCCGTCATGCGCAAGAGATACGTCGAGCTTACGATGATGTCCAGATCAATCCTCACATAGTGAGGATTATCAAATCTTCAGAGGGCGAGCCGTTTGTAGATTGGGAGACTGCCTCTTTTGGCTCCGAAAATGCAGGATTCGTGATTCGTGGTTGAAGAAGGTTTACGAATAGAGGCCTCGTGTGGAGGAGTTCCAGATAGAGCCTGAATAACGACACAAGACTGGCTGAACCAAGAGGGATGGACATTACAGTGTCGACACAGCAACGGAGGGTGTGTGGACACCAGACACGGTCAACAGTACATACATTGTTAACAAAACGTTCTACAGTGTACAGTTGTGCAATCGATCAAGTATACTGTATAGTCTTTGGACCCTTATCCCAGTGTGCAGGTCGAAGTGTCATGTGGCAGTGCCACGTTTGCCCTTCGAAAAGTTGGGCAAACTCGCCCTTCGAGTTCACCAGGCAAGCGGGTCTGTGCATTGCGGGTAGGGCCAGAGAAGCTTTTGCACGCTTTTGTTTTTCTTGATTGCTTTTTTGGGGGGGGCTTTCCACGGATTCTTGTGTAAGGATGACTGCTTTGTAGCTTCAGCCTAAGTGGCCTTCACTCTCCCCCTTCTGAACAAGAACACTCCTCGTAAAGCAGCCAAGCCGTTCTCCATGCCTTCAGAATTGACAGTGATTCGAGTTATGATTCGTTCTTTCATGTCAAACCTCGCATGATGCCAGCCAAAAAAAGACTCCCTTTGCAATACAGGTAGCTGGATGCACTGTTGTTGTTTTGCTGATAGATGCTGATAGCTTCACGACTCTCAGTTCAAAGGGAATGGGACCGGAGGGCTGACAAGGTCCATCGGCTCATCAGGTTCCATGAGACTGTCTCAGGTGTTGTTCCTCTTCACAGAGCCTCTGATCCTCCGGTCAAACCGAGAAGTCCTCAGAGACCGAGCTGAACCAGGCAAAGCCCGTGCGCAGCAGTGCGGAGATGTGTCTGACTAAGGCTCCGCCGTGCAATGTCTGCTGGTGGAAATCCGGGCAAAAGAGTAGCACCTGCAAGAAGTAGGTGGGGTCCCCTCTTTTGCCGATTTGTGTGCACAGTTTGGGGTGGGAACTGTTCTTTTTATGCTGAATTTGTGTGCAAAAGAGTGCGGAAGCATACATTTTATCGCCAAATTGATCCAAATTGGCAAATTGGCAGTTGTCAGATTTCCCCCGCAGAAAGTCTGTCAGTTGCCTAGTGCTCGTGCCGTATTGTTGATGCAACATACACCATTCATTTTATATACTCTCATTAAGAACTTAAGTCCTCATCAAATGAGGTTCTTTAGCTCCTTTTATCAGTCTCAGATAGATGCAGAAAGCCATCGGTCGCTGATGCTTTGGGTGCTCCTGTGAGGCCGCAAAGCCACTCCCGAAAGGGATGCCTCCGGACCAGGCTGCTGTTGTAAGTTTTGTTCATATACTCCGGGCTGAGTGAGCTAAGCAACTAGGTTCGAAGAGGAGTACGTTCCGCTGGCTGAGCTTTGGTTGATAAAAAAACCGCACCATGGCTTCGCCTCAGACTCAGGCAGCACAGTCTTTAGAGCGCCCTCTTTGTTGCAGAGATTGTGGGCCAACAAGAGAGGTTTTCCAAGCCAATTGTATAAAGGTGGTTTCGGTATATTAAGATAAGAATGTCATCTATCATGTTTCAACCCACTCAGGATGATGTGGCCTCCACTTTCCGAAGCAGCTGTGGCCTCGGCTGCCGAATCGAAGAGCTTTCTGTCGTCATCGGATTCATTGGCTCGTTCGCCAGGCCAGAGGCCGGCGCCCAAAGAAGAAGGCGGTGTGCCCGGAACCAAGATGCATGATGACACTTGATGAAAGCCTTTGGCAGCAGTTTTGTGCGAAAAAGCAGCTTGCTGCCACAGCACTGTCATTGAGGTGGACGCTGTTTGCCTTTGCCAACTCACGCTGAAGAACATCATGGGAAAGCGGATGGTTGAAGTCCTGAAACCTACAGAACTGAGGGCTGATGAAGGCCCTCCTGCAGATGGCTGACAAGCCCCAAGCGCAGCTTGCGTGTGCAGGCGCTGAGTGCAAATTTGGTGAAGAACTGCGCTGCTCCAGCATCTCAAGGACCCGTGGAGCAGCCGTTTTGAATTCATTTGATCTTAATTCACGCAATGGCATTCGCCCAACACGGGCAATGCGCAATTTGCAGAAGCACTTCTTTCCTCACATTTCTATATAGGTCTCTGAGTCTCTCTTCCAACATCTTTGAAGCATTTGCATTGTTTGGCAACATTAATAAAAGGAGTGTGCAGTAGTTTTAGGCATGGGCAATTCACTGAGCCAGATGGAGCCATTACATACACGGTCCTACCTGAACCGGCAGCTTTCAAAGAAGAGCAAGACAGAGCTTAACAAGGAATTGCGCAATTCGGACAGAAAACCTGCTGTTAAAGCAGTTGGCTATAGCACCTCACACATCACATTGTGCATTGCCTGCGAACCTTGTCTTGGCAGTTATATAATGCGTTCGACGGATGTTTCTTCAACTTGCACGAAAGAACTTGCACATACAAACCTCGTTCCCTATCCACCATGTTCCTTCTATTTGCATGTTCATGACTGAAAGGGTAGGCAGCTGGGCAGTTAAGATGAGAGACACCAGTCGACCAGTCCGCAACCAAATTCAAGCTCTCATGAATCATGAAACGCCTCAGACCTCGCGACACGATTCACGTTGATTTTTGTGGAATGGCTGCAATTTAATTTTGAGGGAAGAAGGGAACAAACTGGTTCAGGCTGGAGATTGGAAGAGGGCGACCAAGTAATTGAAGTAACTACTACACGCACGGCTTGGCTGCCCTTTTTGCTGATCCAGATATCAGTCAAGATGCTGCTAATCAAGACTTTGTATGCAAATCTCTCTCTATATATGTATAATATATATATATAAGTGTCTTGACGCTACCTCAAACAGAGAACAGTGCTGCTGCAGAGTCCGCTGTGGCGTGCCTGTAGTTGCACCCAAAGCATAGTATTGAAAAGCACGGTACAGACGTGCAGTGGCCCTTGAGAAGCTAGGAAACTTGAATAAGCAACGATGAGCTTTTGTGTCCAGCTTTTGCCTGCCGAGTCACCGGCCTGTTGTGTTTCTAGATGTTCCAACTATTCGGTCTTGGACTAGTAGTTGGATTGAGTCCATATATCTTCTTCGTCCGGTGAAGCCCGCCTCGTCCCGGTGAAACTTGTGTCGCAATGTCACGAAAGACAGAGTGCTCACGCAAAGACTTGCGGAAGCTGTTGCCAGTTGATCCTGACAAGGAAGCAATCGCAGCGCCCAACAATTGGAGGGGACTAGCTTCTTCACAGCACAGCTCAGATCACTGTGCAAATGCAAAAACCTTGAACAGTTACTGAAGCCTTTTGGCACTTCTCAGGGGCAGACTGTCATCGTGCGTGGTGTCCAGGCTTGAACGCCGGCCAGCATGAATGGGTGATCGAATGCTACCGCTTGGGGAGGTTGCAATCTGCACGGCGCTGCATGGCCTGAACAATCCGGCCTGCCAATCTCCCAGTACTATTTTGCAGGACAGTTCATCAGTTTCGACTAGTCATGTTCTTTGATTGCTCCAGCCTGGGCTTGGGTCATTAACTTGCACGATCCTGCAACACATTGTTTCTTGGAACCGATTCTTTGTTGCAAAGATTCAACCGTCGGATGACGCTGCAGAAGCGCTTCTGCACATATATTCTATAAAAAATATACATAGACTGACGACCTTCCATGTTAAGCCTTCTCTGGGGGCAGTTGTCGCCGCAAAAGGGTTCCTGAAGGAAGGAAAGGAGCTCAACTCACCGTTGGTGTTTCTCAAACGTCAGCCTAGCTGCAATTATTTCAGCTTAGCTCAGCAAAGTATTGACAAGGCCAACTGTGCTTTGCAGATGTTTCGATCCCTCCGGCCGTTGCGGGTGAGTGAACATCTTAGATTTGCAGACACATTGGTGATTTTCCAAAATTTCCATAGTTTGCCCTTTACCTCGCCAGGCTCCATCCATGTGCATATACATTGTTTCTATCACACTTCGAACCAACTAAGGCCTGCCACGTGGCGTGACAAGCCGCCTTTTCAGTGAAGGCGCGCTTTGCAGGTTGAGTTGAGAGAAGACAGAGCATCACGCAGATACAATATAGATACATAACTTACAATATGTCAGAATGTTCAAGCAGACACTGAAAGGACGCTGCCTTTGCAAACCTCCGGGCGAACCTGTCACACATGCGCGCGCTTGGACCTGTAGATAGCAACCCCCTTCTCCATTTCTGCCAATTTGGTGGTTGTCCTGTTCCAAACTCGACGTTTCCTCGTGCGGTTCCCACAACTTTGGACGGTGTTTTGACGATTCTATGGGATTATCTACGTTTGTTTGGTTTGTTTGGTTTGGTTTGTTTGTTGAGACATGCTCCCGTCATTTGTCAACGCTTTACGGACCACTTGGTCCGATGAACCCAGCAGACTGTTTTCTAACCTCAATGCATCGTTAGACATGCAGAGTCTGCATTTGAGGGGTTGATTTCGTAGAACATGTTTTTGTTAGGAGCACGGAGCACTGGAAAGGCACTTGGATCCACGAACCTTGGGATGCTGTTCGTATCAGCAGACGGGATCAAAACCAGCTTGGCCAGGCGCCCAGGCTGTCGGATGCTCAGAACATTTTACCAAGCCTTGGAGAGCTTGTGGGGATTTGGTGCGTTTTGCTGGGCCACTATCATACATCATGGGTTTTT